CGAATTGGTAAAAGCTTTTCTTTTATTTTTTTAAATTTTATAATCACTAATTGTATTGCAGTTACTAGTTCATGGCTTTTAAGTTATTGCTGTTTGACGTTTATGCTTACATATAAAATGTGCCTCTATAGGTACAATGGAAAACCAATTCATAAATTTTCATAACTGAAAAAGAACTTCGTTATAAAGGCGGTCCAGAAATTATTGGAAACAAAAGTAAAGTTGTTCTCGATGAACTAAATTAAGGCGGATACGGACACGAATTAAAAAAGTAAAAACTTCATATATTTCTGACTAAAATCTGAAAAATTACCTCTTTGTAAAAATCAACACATAAATTAATTATTATTAATACCTGGTGATTGTATGAAAAAGAGACAGTCAGCTGACTATCAGAACTTACGTTGATATCTTCAACTTTACAAAACTATATTCATTGACGTCAAAAAAAAAAAAAAATTTGGCTTAAAATAATAATACTAAAAAAATCGTTGAAATCCGGGTGAGCGGTAATCCGGGCACCTGTGGGCTAAAATTTTTCTAAAAGTGAACGTGGTCCGTCCTCTAAATTCGCTTTGGACAAATCTTTTAAGAACTTCTACCGACAGTGTGAAAATGGTTGAAATCGGAAAACAAAACCGCCCTCTCCCCATATAACGGTACTGTTAAAAACTACTAAAAGCGCAGTATACACGCCAGAGACATAAAATTGTGTACCCGAGATCATAGGAGAAAGATTTATCGGAATCAATGTCAAAATTTGACGATGGGCGTGGCACCGCCCACATTCAATATTAATAATACCCTGACTTTTCTATATTACAGTGTGAAAATGAGCGAAATCAGACAAAACCCACGCCTTCTTCCCATAAAACACAATTTTAAATTCCTTCTGATTTTTTCACTTTCCTGTATAAAAATCAAAACCAATCAATGTATCCGGATAAAACTTTGCGCAAATAGTGCTCTCAACATAGTTTCTCTCACGCCCAAAAATTTTCAAAATCGGACCATCACTTTTGAAGAGCCCAGGCGCCAAATATGTGGACCCCCGTGCGTATGGCTGACTTTTTGCCGAAAATATCTGTCAAACAAATATAAAATGTTCGGTTACACCCGAACTTAGCCCTTCCTTACTTTTTAATATACCTATAATACGTACTGTGAGGCGTAGTGGTTGCATCAAAAGTTTATTTTGAGATGATTTTAACGATTGTAAATATTTTTGTTTTTCACGGAAACACCCACCATTTTATAACGATTACAAAATGAAGTACATACATGTATGTATCTTTTGGGGAACACCTTAACAACTGTGTCTCATATTCGGAGCTTCTCAGTACCTTTAAACACTACAGCATTCAAAAGACTTATTCTTGTTCAATTTTGAATAATGTAATGTATGAGTAAGCAGATATCTACGTATCGCTATATTACCTATGTATTTATATGTAAGTTTCTAGCTATATAAAAGAAAGGCATTAACCAGAGGGTTAAATAGATGCATATCTGCTTATTCTAATTTGTGTACTTCAAATAATTAGCAATAAACTTAAAAGTTTTAGGTTCATTTTGAATTGCCAAAAAATATTAAAAAAAACTTTCCCATGACCGAAATATGCCAAATATTCGGTATTGTCTGTCGACGGTTATTTTGGTTCGACGCAATATAATATGATATGTGATGAGTGTAAAAAAATAACGTTTTGTCGATCTCGTATTTGATTTTTGGGAGATTTTAAAGAATTTTATTTCCCCTAAACTCTTAAAGCCGTGCAGTTTGCTTTTCGTTCGCATCGATCGATTTCCGATACTCAGTTTCAATTTGGAGGACAAATCTTCAAATTCTTCTATAATAATCGAAATCTTTAAATAAGTTGTGTATGTGTTTTGTGTTTTTTGAAATTTTCATATATTTTTGGATTACAAAGAATTCATCCAATGAAACATCGATAGAAATATCAGAGCATTTTTACAGTCATCTTACCAAATCCGACCGAACAGAGCTTCCTGACCTTTTGGACAAAATTAGCTTTTAATTGTTGTTTGTGAGTTTTTACAGATTACTGTTTTATTTATCATTTGAAATGAAATAAATAATGTCTTCACATATATATACTTAAATATTTCCTTGTTAGTAATAGCCTATTGGAATAACTCTCCTTTGCAATATTCCTTTAAAAAAAAAAGATGATCTTGAGCTATGAGCTACACTTGAAAAGCACAAGCTTTAAAGCTTTACAGTTCATCCGGTTTTGATATTATACAGGAATTGTTTTTACATATGTATACTTATTTCGAAGGCATATTCGATTAATTTAAAAATATTGTACGACTTTTAATGAATAAATAAATAACAAATTGTTTATTCCCAAACATACAAAATATTATATTTTCACCACAAAAGATCACTTTATTTTGCTAACATAGCCCACAGATTGACCGATATAGACAGTATAAAGTCAACCGAAAGTTCGAAGGTGTCATATGGATTTTATCCATTTATTGATAGCTATGGATGAGGGAAAAAGATGTCCTCTGGATTTCATAAATATTTTCGGTAAAAACATATTCGGTAGTTGGGTAATTGAAAAGTTGGAGCCCAATTTTGACTATTTTTAGACGATAGATGATATATTATATATTGAAACCACTATTCATATATTTCAATATCTTCATTAATGTTTGATTTATAAGTGAAAGAATCATGAGATGTAGGCTTTCATCTAAAGTGGTGGACGGCTGATGAAGTAGTTTTCAACATAACCATTATACTGGGAGTGGGTGTCGTTATCGTCCGATTTTATCAATTTTTTTACAATATGAAGAAGTGTTTTCTTTGTTTGTTTCTTTAAATAAGTAGGGAACCTCAAAATGGATCACCCTTTGTAAGTAACTTTCATCTGTACAAAGCAAAGCCTGATGAGAACACATAGATATAGATATATTGTCTACTAGCAAAATTATAAATTATTATGTATATTATATTACATAAGCTTACTGGACAAAAGTTTGAAGGTTTTCCTTTCTCACAAAAATGTTTTTTTTTGTGCCCTATGCTCGTGCTGTCAAATATGATTGTTCTCTTCTCAAATTTTTTTCAGGTTATTTCTTCTTTTCTCAGAATTTTGCATTCTAACCAGAAAAAAGTGCACCATTTGCTCATTTCAGACTGTAAGCGTGGGAGTTGGCCAACTGATTTTTTTTGTATCATTTTTGATAAGTATGTTTCTCTACAAAAAGTTGTGCTAAGCTCAATTGTAGAATTTGCGAGTTGATTGGCATTTTGCATGTTTTATTATGTAAAAAATGCAAGAAATAGATAGTAAGAGGTGTAATAAATTAGATTTGTACAATTAAACTTCATGTATAATATATTGACTATACCCTCAACCCATAAAATGCAAATGAATTATGTTGACAACGAAATATTATTCATTCATAAATAAATGGTAAACATACGAATCTGCTTGATGGTGGATTAGAAGTAACTCACCACGATTAGAAAGCTTTTGAATAAGCATTTTAGAACTTGACTTAGTTTTGCTGTTTTACAACAGATGTCGCCAGTGGTAGTAAACTGCTTTGCCTCATCCCCTAATGAATACGCTTGCATACATACGTTTAATGGGTATTTTTTCGAGGAATTGTATTTATTTTATTCTATTCGAAGACATGTCAATCAATTAAGTTTAAAATTTAACAACAGTCTTCTAATAATATTACTGCATAATATAAGATATTAAAGTAAATTCCGATGATGTACTTTTTTTTTGATAGCTGGTATTTTATGGGTGGGAGAGTTTAAATGAGGTCGTAAAATTGTTCTGTTTTGATAACCACAGAGGGTCATCAAAATGGAGTTGGGAACCCTATTACCAACCACTATTAAAAATCAAATAAAATTTAGAAACGTGCGTTTACTTTTAGAATAATTTGTATATCGACACTCTTTTTTCAACAAAACTGCCTTGCACCTATGAGAGTCTGTGCCCATTTAATTCTTTTGAGAAATTATCCAACTATTCAGGATATTTTCTGACTTTAGATTGGTGGAATTTTGACACCAATATACATCGCTCACCTCAATTTTATAATAGCAAAAAGGATTCTCCAATTTGGCTTTCAAGTTATTTCTTTTTATAATAACATGGGCAGCTTCCATTGTTCACTGAGAGAGAGTATAAATATTTTCAGATGAAAGACAAACTTGATAATAAAAAATTTTGTTTAAAATATTAACTTTCATTACTCGAAGAAACTAAATGGAATAAATTGGTCATAGGTCCACTTAGTTTCATTACCACATTTTTCTTGTACGAAATATTTATATTAAAACCAACCTAATAAACTCAAACGTTAAATAAACCTAACCAAAGGAGCTTAATTTAATATATATATTGGGTATATGAGGAAAAAGTCAACTAACTAACCGGAAGTCATTATATTAGAGATAAGAGGTATGAGTTCAAAGTCTAACCGAATGCAAATCTGCTGTACATCCAATATGATACGTTCATATGTGTTTGATTCAAATTTAGTGGTTTGTGAGATAAGCATATTAGACCTATTAGCCATGCCCACTCTTTTTTCGATCATTTCGCCAACTTTTCAAACTTCCTAAGCATTAGAATTAAACATTACAAAATATTTTATTAAAATACGAAATACTAAATTTATATATGTCATATACGAGTACATAAATTGAGAAGCGAGTAGATTCGCATAATTTGATTTCCGATTTGTTACAAAATTCCGGTTATACTTTACTTTTTGTACATATCTTACTGTATCAAAAATTTACTATTATAATGTCTTTGCACAAAACTTCATCAAAAAGCATTTTTTTATATATACATGCATATGTTGGGTTAGATTTGGTTTGTATGTACCTAAAAAATTTTGTATTTGAAAGTATGTATATACATATTATATATACTGATATTTACTGGTACCGAAAATATTATTTTTTTTATTTTGAATATGGAATTGAAACTTACTTATTTTTACCTACGTTCGTTCTTCTCGAATCGATATAGTCCCAAATGATTTTTCCAGAAACCTGTGCAAAATGCGATAAACTAAAAGCAAAAAGTTCTTGTTTCAAATCATTTATTTCGATAATTTAATGGAAGCGCATCTACCAATTTTCAAAATATTTAAGTATAACAATTTACAACTACAAGCAATATAAACTTAATGCTAAAGTAATAAGCTGCCAAAAAATTATTTAGTACAAGCTTACTAAGCTACGACTAGTGCTTCTATAGTAAAATAAATATTAAGCCAGCTAAAGCATCAGTTGACTGCATCTGGAAAGAGAGAGGTGAAAGAATTGTTTTTTAATATTTATAGAGTTATGGAATCTGTAAAAAATGTATATACGTGTAAATGTACATGTGTATTTGTAAATATGAGTATAACTCATGAGAGATTTGCCAGTATTTTGTTTGGGCGTGCCAGTGGTCAAGGAAAATGTGTATCGAGGTTCATCAAGATATCTCTATTTTTACTCAAGTTACAGCTTGCCCGGATGGACTGACGAACAGGCAGTCACGTACATTTTAACTCGTCATCATGATCATTTCTACTTATATAACTTATATCTACCGCGACTAGTTTTAGGTGTTACAAACAAACATTAGAAGAAAAAAAGTACGTGTGGCACTCGGGGACTGCCACGGTAAAGCATTATTTTTTATGAACTTATGCAATTATAATTATTTATTTTTTATGCAGTATTTTTTTTTTTTTTGATATTAATTCGAGTTACACTTTTTGAGCGTAGTGATCGATAAGAAAACCATTTTTTTTCTTTTATTGAATAAATGAGAAGTTAATATTGTTTATAGTATTTTTAATAACTTACAACAATTTTTAACATTGAAACTATAAGTTTATGGTAACTGAGATATGCGAAAATACGCCTATCGTGTTAGGTTTATTTTCGTTACGAAATTTCTTGATTCAGTCCCCACGCTCAAAGCCCGCGATAGAAGTTATGCAATAGCTTAAAAACAATTATACTTTGCATCAACATGCTGCGAGTATATTAGGCATCTTAGATAATTTATTAAAACTGGTTAACCTCTTTTCTGAAGTGAAGCTGTGTGGATAACATTCAGAACACACAAACACGATCACTATACACAATGAAAGATGATGGAATTGATATTAACTCTCAAACACTTGATAGGTTAAACTAAATAATAACATAGAGGTATCTGAACGAGCCTTAGTCTAATTTACGATGGAAAGTGTTCATGCAGAAAATATGCAATATGACTTACGGTGTACGACAGAATATTACTGTCAACTTACTAAAATTTAATATAAAGGAGTGGGTATTTTTGAATTGCCTGTTAGGGTCATTATTAATGTAATTTCTAGGTAAATAATAATTATATAATCAGTTCTCTTTCACTCATGTATCTGAACAAAATTCGCATGGGATGGGAAGAAAATGTACTCTTTATTGGATTTCCAAAAAAAAAAAACTTTACTTTTACTCAAAAGTCAAATTTTGAAGCGCTATTTTCCTGCTTTTATAAACGCAGTGTGCAGAATGTTGCATAATTTGGATTCTAATTCAGCAAGTCGAACGAAATTATGAAATTTGTTGTTAAATGGGAACACACATGCTTTCAAATATATTTGTGTATGTGAATAGTGTGAGCGTGGACATATTTAAGTATCTGCAAATAAATTTATTCATGTGTGGGAGGTGAATTATTATAATAAGACAGCGTCAGGATAATTACGACGACGCCCTCGTTGATATAAAGCGCAAACAAAAGTTAATTTAGTCTCCCTTATTTCACAAGCAATTTATTCTTATTCAAATAAAACTCCTTTTTCCCTCCACATTGTGGATTTACTCTAGAATATTAAGGTTCATCGAGTGGAAGCAAGGACAAAAATTAATGACTGTATATATTTTTGAGCAAGTATAGTGATTGTGTGAAGAATTCGTTGATATGTGTTTGTATATGACCAGAAAAATTTTATTCAAAAGCAATGTTTAACTGTTAGACGCAGTATAAATATTTTATTTTGTAGAACACTATCTTCAGGCGATTAGCACCTATTCTAGAGTTTTGAATATGCTTTTATTAGGTACTAACGAATTTTTGCTTTGTTATTACCTTATTAACTTCTTTTCTTTGCAATCCAATGAATAGGAAATAACAGTATTATGATTACTAGTAAGGATTCGTGTATTAGGGTTATTGATTCTCGTGCAGATATTGTTAATTAGGTTGACAAATATGTTATTTTAAAAATTATAACTGTTTGCCTAATGTATTTTAAATGTACATGAATCGCATATCATGAAGCTACATCGGGATCATTTCTTATTTTTTTCTTGTAAATATGACTCCAAAGGTTCACAAACCAATTTTCAGTTGTTCTTTACATATGTATAAATGGCTACATAAATAACCAGAATTTTCGTTTTTTGAAAAAAAAGCTATTCATTTGTCTAAATTAATGTTGCCGCCTTCAAAATAGTCCCGCAGTAGACGCAAGTATATGAACAACATATGTATTAGCTGGGCTCTATGATACCGGGGATAACCGGACTAGTAGCAGTCCACCACAACGAAATATCAACAACAACAAGGCGTGCAGTGCTATATGACATAGCTCAAGAGGAACATTATAAACTGAAGGAAAGAAGGATCATTCTAAATATGCTCAAAAGAACTGAAGTCGTGGTTATTAATTCTTGAAATATCTGGGTGTGAGGATAGATGGGAGGCTTAACTACAAGATCCACATCTGTCGGGCAAAGCTGCTTCCGAGAATATCTATACAAATATGGTCATGTCGATGGTGCTTTTTCTTAGGCAATGGACGAGAAAATACATGGCACATATATATACTCTTCGTTCCCTCGTTATAATAACGAACGTAAATGAAAGAACGTAAATAGAGGAACCCTTAGTAGACTGGCCTACTTTAGAAAATATCGTTTCTCACATGACCAGATCTCAACATGGGTGAAACCGAATGAAAGAATAGACTGCAACAGTAATAAATCCTTGATCTGTTATTAAAGCAGTTATTTCCAAATGTATTTGCCGAAAAATGTTTTGGAGCTCAGATGAAATTAAGTTTAAACAAGTTATGAAAAAAATTAAAATGAACCTAATTTACTGAAAAGAGAAATATGTGATATAAACTCAACACAAAAACGCACAGTTTAATATAAAAAGGTCAGTTAGAGAATCGGATAATTATTATAGTATTTCGGTGTATACGATTTCAATATTAAGCATTAAACCATATTATATTTAGAATACAAGTTTTTAATTGATTGCATTACCTATTGACATTACCAAAATATACTAATTTTTCCATGCAATTTTAAAAAAGATAACTCGTACGCTGTTAGATATATTTGGCATAAAGTTTGTGAGCGACGGTAATTCGTGGACCGTTTTCATACATTTTCGATATAGATTTCTCACACTTTTACCGATTTATACCCTTTATCGGATACCGGATCCCAATTCGTTTTGCCATCCTGATCTTTTATATATATATATACCTCCATATCATAATGTATGTTGTACACTGATTCTTAAATCAAATACTTTAGATATGGCTAGTATGTAAAGATTATACTTCACAATGCCTACAAAGAATTTTCAAAAATGTTTCAGTAATTTTGGCGCTTAGCCTTCCCTTTACGAATTCGTCTTATTCAATAAGAAACGACTTCAAGAGTAGGCAAAATTTTGTCCATAATATTAAAACTTAGGGCTTTACCACGTTTCTATGTAGCCTAAGGATGCCTGCAGAGTGGACGCTCAAAGCCGAGCCGAGCGCAAAGACGAATACGATACACGTACATTTTCACAAGAAATTGCCGTAGAGTGGCATCCGAGAGTAAAGCTGATCAATGTTAGAAAACCAGTTTTGAAGCGTTTTTCGGCGCCCACTAACGTTTGCATAGCTCATTTGTATGGTGGTCTCATATTTTGCTTACGAGGAATTACCATGAATGTGATAGAACAATATTTATTTCGTTTGGTATAATCAAGTGTTTCATACTGGCACATGGATTACGTTGATAGGATATACCTTTTTAACTGCTGTGGAATCCAAAAATTCAAATTTGACAGATAATCCCTTCCTACTAATATCTTAAAATAGTCGGATAATTGATAACTATCTATCAAGTAGTGGCCGTTGTTGGAAAAAAGTTTTGGCTTCGATCGGCATTAGGAACCAGTTTTAGTCTTTGAGGGGAACTTAAAGCTAGTATAGTCTCTTTCATCACTGCTCCTCCTACATATGGTGTACAGCAAAACTAAAGTATTTAATATTAAATATAGCATACATATATATGTACCACATCTGTATTAGGAATTAAATGCTTTTATAAAGTTCTTTTCATGCATGCAACTGCTAGGGAACCTATTCCCATTTATATATTATGAATATATACTTGTATACATATATATGGTTATATGCCTATATACATGTACGGGTATATGGTATGAGCACATAAAGTGCAAATATTGAATATGATCCTTCCATCGTTCTTTGCGTTGCACATTTGTATATATTGCATTTTTGGCTGCACATTGCATGTTGCAATAACAACAAACAAATGGTCAAAAGTTATAGAAAAACTCGTATTGAGCTGCAGCTGCATGCAAATTTCCAACATGGCGGCCGACTAGGACCAACGCTGTTGCGTAGATCTAGGCACCAATCAAAGCAAAAATGCATTTTACGTTCACGGCAGATGCTTAGCCGATGGCTGTTTGTTGTTTTTGTTTTCTGTGTGGCGTTGGTGTGTGCTTTTGGATCCGAGATGCAATAGCAATAGTAGCAGCTGCCGTTACTATTGTTTAAGGGGGCTGAAAGCAAAAATGCACTTTGTGCACACGACAGCGTGCATTCAAAACAAAAACAAAAAAATAAATAAACAAAACAAAAAGTGGGGGCAAAGAGTGTAAAGTTTTTAGTATTAAAAATGGCTTTTCATGTGACTAGAAAGTACGCAAAGCTCGAATCTCGCATGTGCATTGGTCTATACTTGTATATTGCACATACATATTTATGAATACATACAATATAGATGTACATCCATGAATTTTTGCAGCCATGATGAAAACCGTAAAGCTCGAAACTAGCAAAAGACTACCACTTTTTGGGTCTACACCAGTTCAAAATAGTGCTTATCAACGATATATTTTTACCGTTAACTACACCTCGATCCACATATCAAGTATCGCATTTATTAAATACATTTAAATTTGAGGTTACATGTAATGCATTAAGTATTAGCCACACATTCGTTTTGTACTGGGATTGAATTTTAAAATGCAGTTTTTGTGTGCATGTTTTCGCTTCGACTAGGGACATGTGAGCAGATACATGCGGAAGTATGCAAATTCATCAGTATATAGTAACAAGCTGATAGGCGGGCAGAATATCAACGTTTATAGCTAACAGCACAATTGCAGCACTGCATAACCATAAATTTAGTTTACTGCTACAGTCTTGCGAGGGAGTCAAACTATTTGATAAATATTCCATAATCACCCATACTTTTACAGGTCTTTCCCTTATAAGCTTATATAATGTATAATATACAAATATAGAATAGATTAATATAAAAAAATGTCATATTTTGTGTCTGGAACCTAACTCGTGGAATTGATTTTTGTATCGTTGAAGCGAGTTTACACTTTTCGCCATACCCATCTTTTAGACTCCCTACTTTTCCTTTGTTTTCTGGGTTAGACAGCATGGTGGAAGTGGATTATCAATATAGTGTTGTTATTGTCAATTTGGGTGTGTACGAATAAAACTCGCTAAAAATGCATTGCAGATTGCAACGATGTTGATATTTCACAAAAATCCCAATATACCGGTGTGGGTATAGGCGAATGTGTGCACATCTATGCGTAAACATGAACCCCTTCATACAGACATATATATGGGCATCAAAGTCAATTTCAGATTACATACCATATCCCTGTATAGGCTCTGCCAGACGCTTGTATAACTACAGTTATAGATGAGAAATATTTTATGATGTGAAATTTTGCGTATGATACCAAATGCTTAAAGTTCCTCAAATGATTGTAGAAGTTGTGGAATGACTCGAAACAAATTCAGCTTGGGACGTTCGTGCAAAATGCACAACTATTAAAAATAATTATTGCTCCCTGGTCTTTGAGTGTATTTACACTAAGTGTTAAAACTCCCCCCCACCCAAAATCGGAGAGTGATAGATCGGTAATAATAAAAGATTGACGAAAAATGTATATCATGAGAATTATCAGGGAAAATCGCCAAAAATTTTATTTTACAAAATATTCATATATAAATAAAAGATGAAAAAAATGCAAAACTTAGTTGAGAAAATTGGTAGGAAAAGTTGCATGTGCGCAACAGTTAATAGATCGATTGGTAGAGTCCGCTACTATCATAAAATTACAGTGCGGAAACTAATTTTAAATGAAATTCAGAATTCTTTACGAAGTAACATCAATTTTAAATGTATGTTGGAAGGAACATTTTTTCTGTAGAACCCTCCAAGAAAAAAGTTCTGGATCCGGCGCTGATTGTAAAACAAGTCCAGATTGCCTTTAAGTCAAATTATGGCCAACAATAGTCTAAAATAGCCGATACCTGTCATATCATAGCCGTGCTACACTTAAAACTGTAAAACTCTTCACTTTGATGCGTTTTAAAAAACTTTCGAACTTAAATATTAAGTAGGTAAAAAGTTAGCATTTAGAAGCTTCTTCAACACAAGATCGAAACTAAGGAACATTTTGTAACACAACAGTGATCGCTACTGGAATGCAAGTTTTGGAAATAAATTAATCAAAGTATACTGAAACAACTGTGAAACATACAAGTATGCATTTACAGTGACAGCTGGGATGACCTCCAATTGGGAAATCAGATGATAACCACTCTAAAATATAGGCATATTACTCACATCTCAGAATTTTTACAAAACGCCTATGTGCAGCTATAAAAGCACGAAAATGAAATGCATTTCACTGTGGATTTGAATAAAAAAGTGCTGCCTTTGCAAAACAACTACTAAAACACACCAGACAGTGTTTTCGCTATGATAGTAGGCTTCCAAGGCAACAATTTCAGATCTGATCTCGCACAAGGAGAAATCTGTACACAGGTACACTGATAAATGTAAGTAGTATGTATGTATGTATATGTGTTCGAGTATGTATAAAAGTTACTCCAACACCTCAGATAAGCTTTAAACTCGTACCATCTTCATCATATGCATGTGTCTGCATTGGAGCTGGAGCAAATGCATAGGCATAGCCATAGAAGGGCATAAAAATTACAACAACTGCAAATGCTCTCACACAATAACGCCAACAACTACAATTGAATAATCAATGAATGTTGGCTCCAGTATTGTTGGACTTCTGGTGTCTGTAGAATAGCAATTTGCATTGAGTACACCTTTGTAGAGCTCCGTTGCAACGTCGTTGTGGCAACCACCCACAATCCATACCCTGCACGGCTGCAACCCTTACTTCAAATGCAGTTTGGCTCGGCAATCACAGCGAAGAAAATTCACATTTCGCACACATGCCCAGAAGGCGGTGCGTCGCATTTCGAAAGCTGTAAATGGCAGTGGCGCTTCAATTGGCAAGGGATTGTTGCCGTCCGTACGATCTTCCAATTCGTTCCTTCTTAATTTGCCAGTGTCTAAAGCGAAAAAAAAAACAATTTAGTACAATGCCCAAACCTTTTTCCTTCATTTCATTACATTGCCCGGTTTCTCAGTGGCAACGTCAGAGCATCCATTTGAGGGAGGACTACATTAAGAGTATATGGATAATTCGAACGCAGATAGCTACTGGCATTTTCAATTTTAGAATTATATAGCACTGCATATTGTAATCGTTGTAGCCAAATTGCATATGTGCCCTGTGGGTGGGTGGAATGAACCTTACCATTCTCAAATGAAATTCCCAAATCAAATTGCTGTCTGTGGATCAGACCCTGTAGTGTATTTCCTCGCTGGAATGTTGATGTTGTTTTAAGTTCGTTCGAATTTCTCAGCTACCTTTTCATTCCAATCCATCTAATTTCGAAATCCAACAAAGTTTTTCAGTTATCCTGAAAATCAAACCAACTGCTTTCTATTTTTATACCCTGAAAGGGGTATATTAAGTTTGCCACAAAGTTTGTAACAGTCAGAAGGAAGCGTCGGAGACCCTATAAAATAAATATATAATAATATATAAATGATCAGCATGACGCGCTGAACTAGTCTATCAGTTTTTGAGATATCGATCTAAAATTTTGCACACATATTTTTCTCTCAAATAAGCTGCTTGTTTGGCAGAACCGCCGATATCGGACCACTTAGCATATAGCCGCCATACAAACTGACCGATCAAAATCAAGTGCTTGAATGGAATATTTTGTATTTTGTGAATGGTATTGTAATGTCGGTGTAGTTAAAGTTAATGATTTTTTTGTTATATCTTTAATGTATGCTTATGATGTAGTCAGAAATTGTGCAAGAACACTTTTTAACAAGGAAAAGCAATGTTAAGTTTCAATTTTAAAAATATGAAATGGATCTGGAAAAGAAAAACTTTAAGCACCGATAAAAGGTGTTAGACCACTATCCCCGTAGTCCATAATCTCAACCATTTGTTTTACGAGTTTATTCCAAAATTCATAAATGCATTTTTGAGCTCTTCAATGCCACGTTACTAGTTTCCTCCACCTACAGATCCATTTGAAAGCTTTTATGTATGTGTATTTACGCCTATATTTGTATATACCTATGTTAAGACTTGTGCATTGAAAGCACAAAAATTGTTGGAATGAGTAATATACCAATGCATGTGTACATCTCCTTGTTTGCGTAACGTTGCACTGGCTAGAAATGAGCAAAAAGATTGGAATTGAACCTGCCGGCCCGACAACCAGGATATTTCGTATTTTTTCAAGTTGCTATGCCTTCGTCTGCATTTCCGTTCGAAGTGAAATACACGGAAATAGAGGTGTACCTAAAGAATGGCTTTTCTGTTTCTCATCATACAGCACACGAATAAAGTGATTTTAACAAGAGGAGTATTGGCACAAGCAGCAGTGCCTGCAACGAACGACGTTGACAATGATGATGCCAGCCTAGCTGCAATGTGCAGTGTAAGAACTGCAGTCTACGTGCGAGAGAGTCCGGAGATGAAAAAATTACCTCAGACCACAGAATGAGTCCTCGTTACATTCTCAATTTTAGAAATAGACCGTTCCACATGCTACCAAACCCGACTATGGTATATACCCATTGTTTAGTGCAAGGTTTTCGTAAATGTACATATATAGGTACATATACGAGTATGTATGTATGTAGGAATATTGTGTAGCGAATGCGATATTTCTGTACATTTTAGGATTATACAAAACCCTTCAGTGACTTTTCGTTTTTGAGTTCAATTTCTGTTCAGTTCAATGCATTTCACACAAATCAATTCGCTCGATTTTTTTTATAATTTTGTCTTTTAAGAATTAAGCCATATTCAAATGTTCCAACAGACTGAGGGAAATTATTTCATTTAATGCTTAAAATGCGGACTTTACCATAGTCAAGCCTAGTGACGTCTGTGCTCAGGTTGTTGTTGCCTGAGTCTATGAAATTTTTTTGTCATACGAAACAAAATTATTGTCACACTATCTTGCTACCAGGTGTAAGGTAAGGAGGATTACTGTGGAAGATGTAAATATTATTCATCAAATCAACAAGGAAAGGTATTGACCGTTCACTACTTTGTGTCACTCTGTTTATTCAACCAACTCGAGCTACTTGACTCAGAGTATTTTGAAGTTGAAAGTTATACAGACTCTCTCACGGCCTTCTTCCCAAGCAAAACTTAATCAGCCTATCCCGAAGTAAAGTAGACGAAAATAATATGAGTATGGAAAGAGTTTGGAAACGTTTGATAAATTGACAAAAATAAAGGGAAAATCATTTAGGGCAATCTGAAGTCGGGAAGAGGAAGTGGGGGGCGGGTTTGGATTTTTAGGGGTTAAAAAATAGGTTATAGAAAAAGTTACATGGCAAAGTTGAAGGTAATGAAAATATCTACAATATTTGTATAACATCTTTCTCACATAACCTTAAAATTTATATAAAAACATTAAAATATACAAATTAATCGGCTTCTTGCTTCTGTATTGGTGTAAATAGGAAACCAAAGCAGTAAACTGCCAAAGAGCTGTTTAGCTCTGTGTTTTTCAAACGAAAGCTTTTTTTTTACTTTTTAGTAGCCCCTTCGATATATTGAACTCATTGATCTCAGAAGCATTATCTAAGCTACATGCGTTGTTGCTTTTCGAACATTTGTAACATTTAAATAATATTATGTTATTAAATTACTACTGATTTATTTGATATAATAGTTATAACATTTTTTTAAAAGAATTCTTCGACTATCATCAATCACAAGCCGCTGAGTGTGTTTCTGACATATTAAAGCTACTTAAAGAATCCATTTAAATTTCATCAAGAACCAAACCCTAAAGAAGGGAAGACGAAAAAACCTGCAGGAATCTAGTAAGCTCATCTGCCTACATTTAATTTGTACTGCGACGCTGTAACATACTCGATGATCTCTTACTAATGGTCGGTCAACTCTACTATTGATATTTACTTTGTCATTTTGATATTGGTTACTTTGAACTTTCGGCTGCACATACATATGTACGAGTATATCCGAATCCTTCGACTGGGGAAGACATTATAGTCTACCCCGCAAAGCAATATCTAAGAGTATATAACTAATTGATATTAAGACATCGATTAAAATTAAGATTAAGGTAACTTAGACTCTCTCATAGTAATGTTTATTTATATCATCTTAGGTAAAATCAGAGCTGCGTTATTCAAAGATTAACTCTTCGCCGACTTCTGAGTCTCCATTAGGAAGAATTGAACCTATTTGGGGCTTGAAGACAGACAAATCTTTATATACATGTGTACCGATTGCGTGGCAAGCACTGTCTACCTCAACCCCTCAACCACAATGGCCGCACATACATTTAAAGATAGGTATAGGAACCAAAGGACGAACGAATGCCACAAACGCATTTCAATGTTGGTATTTGCTGTTAGATGCAAGAGCGGCTTCCTACGCCTCACTAAAACAAATACAGTCAACAAAAACTATGCACTTTCAGATACCTATGTGAACGATTCGTCAAAATGCAAATATATGCATGTGCGTACATCAAATGCAAATACTTACATATGTACTGAAGCAAAACCACCTATGTACATAAGTATGTAGCGTTATGTTGTTTATATATTTCATAAATATATATATGCATACGTAGGCGTATTACCGTAAGCACTGGCATAACAATCTATTCGCATGTGAGCGGCCGTTCCAACATTTCGTAAATTGTAGTTTTTTCCCAATTTGCATTGCTGACCAGCACAAAGCAATGTTTGCTTTTGGTTTGGTGCAAGTTGGATACATGAAACTGTTCTCTACACTTGGATGCATTTGGCGAAGCTCAGTCGTGCCCATTCCCCTGTATGCAATTGCATCAAATCCAGTTTTTGTTTCCATCAACGTTAGTGTTTCGGAGATGGAAATTTTCAGTATGCGATAAATGAAAGAGTTTGAAAAACGTAGCCACGATATTTTTAAAAATATTTTTATATAAATTCATCAGCCTCACGCATAACTGATCTCGAAGTTAGTTTCGAGAAGCACCACGGAAAGTTTGTTATTCTAAGAGAGTGGACGAGGTTCAAAAGGTTAGATACAAAATATAATTCGAGAAGAAGACAGCTCTTTGATAGAGGTATCGAAAACTAAATATTAACAGCGAGTTGGACAAGATATGCAATTCATTGATCATGTTTAGATATGTTGCAACATTTGTCTTTAAATCAAACAAGTATAACCATATAATAGTTAAAGCGAATACATGGTAGAAAACGTAAAAATTTTACATCTGATAACATATATCACAATGTAACTTTTGTTGTAAAGGAGAAGTGACAACATTTATTACTCATGAAGTTGAGACGGCATCGTGCCTAGCAAGCAATAATAATATTGTTATGTATATTATTAGAATATTATTTAATTATGATTTTGAATTAAGGCACTTAAAATGAGCAATATATTCAATAAACCAATACGAATTTTTATCTTTTATATTTTGTCTAACTTCATGGTATATTGAAAGGTTTGTAATATGATATTAGCTGTATTCGGTTGGTCATTTCGCTGCTCTCTTTAAAAAAAATTTACATATGAAAGCAATAACAAAGTTATCGAGTTGAATTGAAGCATATATATATATAAGCGTATGTGGTGTAACTTTCAACTTCAATACTACCAAGTTTTGTTTTGCATATTTTAGCTCACTTTTACAATTGTGAAAGGTTTAAATGAGGTATGAAATTATTAATTTCTTTTTTTCCTGTATTATTTCAAATTATAATAATTAAAAGAAAACCAATATAAATAGTTGCAGCAACGTTTTTTAACGCGAAACCCCGAATTTCTTCACTAAGAAGGAATCATAACACATTGCGCATGTTTCAGAAGACATATTAGCGCAGGGTTGCACTACAAGTGCTGCGCGTTTGTTTGAGCATCTGGTATTGTTTGTTCGATTCGCTGATGAGTAACGCTTGGCGAATCGAAGACAGCTAATATATTGAATATTTTAAATACTCGTGTCACGATGTTTGTTGCCAAACTCCTCCGAAACGACTGGGCCGATTTTATTGAAATTGGGTGTGCTTATCGGGTAGGTCTGAGAACCGGCCAACATTTATTTTTCCTAATCTAACCTCACTTTTAACCTAAATGCTACACACAATACAATATTTTTTTTTTTTGCACAAAATTTTTTGCTTTTATATTAATGCATCAGCATCGAAAAATACGTGCAATTCTAAATTTTTACTATTATACGATCCGCCTCTGATTTTTATCGCGATGTTCTATCCAAAGATGCACAAAATGGCAATCGAATATAAAAATGTTAGTATACTATAGTTCTATAATTTATTGACTTAAATACTACTTTAATACAATTAAAGTAAAGGCAAACGAACGTTTGATGGGGCTTACATGTGTACATTAAGTGCACTTTTATGCTTTTATCTTTGCTAAATAGGTCCAGGAAGGAAGGAAGGACCCTTTTTATAAAAAATAAAAAATTGTGAAACATACGTAGTAAGAAAATATCGCTTAGTTAACAAAATCTGAGGAACAATATAATTTAATTTTTCTATACTTAGTTCTGCCATAAGTTCTGTTACAGGTTCAAGCTCCTTCTAAAACATCTTACTGCTACACTGTTGCCCCACTTTCAATCCCTTTTTCACAGAAGTGAACAGGTGTAACGCCTTTACTGGAGACTTTCCCGCAAACTATTGGTGACAGCTCGATGGTGACCATGTTGAACTCTTGAAATAACAGCGTTTGTGTGGATTATGTTGTTTCGCTTATTAGAAACTTCTTCAACACAGAAACATTTTTCATCTATAAAGAGGATACTTTTATGGCCGTTGACTGCTTGTGACTGAAGAAGCCGCTTGTATCTGTTAAACCTAATTTGATTCAAGCGTGATGACAGAAGACGACCAGTTGACCGACGGTAAGCTTTGATGTGGATATCATCTCAAATAAGTCTTGACGATATACCCATTTCCAACGAAACGAGAACGAACACTTCTCTTTCTGTCATTAACGGTAGACGTTTGGGAAAAATAGTGCGGTAAACAAACATTGAAATACAAAGTTTTTTGGGAAGCTCATAAATTTCACGTGTGATTTTTCCAAAATTATGTAAGGCAGTCACCGCAATAGGACTTCATTTAGCTCCCCATTCCATTGGTTAAAAGCGAAAGCAAACACTGAACTTTTTCTGCAAATCTGTCATCGCTGTACCTCATAAAATATTATTTCACATAATTGATTCGTGCATTACAAGTAGCTGATAATAGTATTGACAATAAATTCCAAATAAAACGGGAATTTATCTATATAGGTATATATAAATTACGCGCCCTGATTAAACTCCTATACTACGGAACCGATTTTAGTAAAATTTAGCACAGTTTCAACCAACTTAAAGATAGGATAGTTAATATATCAATTTCAAAAATTTCTAAACATAAACATGTGTTCAAAATCAAAAAAAAATATATTTTTCAGTAAGTGCCAAATGAAAAATTCATTACATTTTCCATTGACAAATATTTGTATCAATCATTTTCAAAATTAAACCTCAAGTACAATCCCTTGGATTCTTATACCGTTTTTGTCTTTATTCGTACATTATATTTTCACTGAATTTAATAATATATATATTTATATATATAGCTATAAATATGTACATATATATACTTATGCATATGTATATGTATGTTAGCGTTGTAAAAAGCAAAAAATTAAGCCTAACTGGTATATTAATTACAGCTCCTGCGCCCCCATCAATATTAGTCCATCATAACCAGAATAAATAATGAATTTTACTAAGAAGTGCTTTTATATCAGACAATATCTTTAAACCCGACTGATTAAAATATCGAAATTTCTGGTTGATGTCAGTTTTATGGTATTTTAAACCAGTCATAAAAACTAAAATTTATAATAATATTGGGCTGTTAAAAATATATGAACATTTATTACATATATTTTTCATCTAATATCAGTAAACAAGTTAAGATTACCTATGAATAGCCATAAAAAAATCGTTTAATATTTTTGAAATGACATAGTATTTGCCCCGTTAACTTCTAATGAAGAGTGCATGTAAATATTATATAAAATTATGCGAGAGCAAATAATGGATAGCCAGGTGTATACATATGTACATATGTATGTATCGCTAATTTGTGTGCATGTACACATAATCGTATGCATCTTACATTCAAATATAAATAAGTCTGTAGATTTGTCTTCCAACAACAATCATAAGTAATCCTTTATATACAAAAGTTTAAGGGAGAAAATTCAAAGCCCTGTCTATGTCACACACACGTACATATGTGAGTATATACATACCTAACGTAAAGACATAGAATAAAGGATTCATGCAAGTAACCAAATCAAATAGACAAATGAAGAGCAGATGCAACAACAGAAAGTTACCCCTAAAAGAGAGCAATTTTTCCTGAATAACTGTTGTTGGCATTGCCAGTGTAGAAAGTGAGCGCAAATTGCATCATATTTGCGCCTACTTCACTTCTCCTCTAATGCATACATAAAAAAGAGGATAAAACGCGAGAGCAAACAGCGGGCTTCATTCCATTTGTGCAAAGTACTTGTATGTATGCGCCGATGCAGTATATATTCCACCACAGGCACTTCCGGTGCAAAACAGACAACAACAACGAACCAGCTTATGGTATGTATTGGTAATTATTAACTAACACAGTTTGCCGCTCCCTGAAGAGTAAGTTGAAATGAGAGAGTAACAACAAAAAGTGTTTTAGAAGTTGCCATGGAGATAGAACAGGTTGTACGTATTTAGATAATTTCACTACAGTTAGAGATACTAGAATAAAATTATGTAAAATTAAAGTACAATTAAAAAAGAGCAATAAGGTAAGGTTATACACATTTATCGATAAAAATACATTGGGATATATATATTTTCTCTATGTTAATGGTATAGTATTATAATAGAGATATTTCTTAGCATATTTTGCAATCCAAATTACTTATAAATTAGTCGTCGTAATTTTCTTTCTGCCTCCTTTTTTGAGTTTTACCATAAATACATTCATATGCAAATATAACCCACATGACTAAAATATATGTATGTGTAATTATGCACTTAACCCCCTTTTACCACCCTCCACATGAGACGACAACGAAGTACTGTATTCCGATAGAGGAACTGTTATACAAACATAGGCGTGTATTTATGTAGGTATGGAGTTGTATTAGTGAATCACCACACATATGCAACCATGATTAAACTGGTATAGTACACATGTATTTATATACGTAGATTGAGCAATAACAGTACAAGATTGCATACATACAACTTGACTAACTAAATAGTTACCGTATCATATTATAATTTATTACAGTTATACTGTCATCAGTAATACATATATACGGAAGAGTTATAAGTTAACTTTGAGTTTTCGCATGTTTTTAGTAAACAATTTGTTAACAATCTTTCTTGGTAACTGTATCTGAATTTTATCCTCAAAACTTCACTGAAGCTTTCCTAAACTGAATTGTGAAATCATGCTTCCTACAAGACTTGATTTATTCTTAAACTTATTATAAATGATTAAATTATTCCTATTCTAAATCATATATCATTTTTTAAAAATGTGGCTACTCTGTGCCAAGCTTCAAATACTACACAGTTCTTTGCCTTTAATTTCTTCTGTTTGTTTGGATATTTGAGCTTTGCCTACTTTAACGCATACTACACACTGTCGCTTATGCTAGTGAGAGCATACTATTAATGTGCGCCCTCTCTCTTTTTTGCTCTCTGCTTAGGTGTAACTGCTTCGCATTAGCGCACTCGCTTACTCTTTTGCTGCGCTGTTGTTGCTTTCCTGTTCATGGCCATTTCTAATGCTTTCTCTCTTTCTATCGCATTAGGTTTAGTGTTTTGCATTTCGTTTTTTGCTCCTTTTTTACCCAAATCTTCAGGGCACTCAAGAATACTAGTGTGCGCTTATATACCAAACTTATAGCAACAATTGCTTACTTCTGTATCGTGAGATACGGTAAAATCGAGTAAGGCCATATGTGTGCCTGAGTGTACGAGTATATATCCGCATATATGTATTTCTATATATGTATATAAAAGAGGAGAGCGCAATGCTGAATTGAACTATGCTGTACCTAACCGGGTCCGACAACTCCATGCTGGGCAGGTGTGTCGCCTTTATTCATGATATTTGTATACTTTTTAGGATGTCAAATGCGAATCCAAAGTAACAACAAAAGCAACACATGTATTTATGTACATACATACATATGTATGAATACATACGCATGCTTTGGTACATGATTTGTAAATATGGGTACAAATAACCACGTGTGCGTGAGATTCGCGTCTTTCCCTTCTACCCTTTGTGCGATATTCCTTTTTATCTGTTTGCAGGTTTTGCACTAAAACTATTTCCCCTCTTGGTCAATAGCAATAAGACCAGCCATGCACCACATGAAATTCCTGACTCCCACTACCCCTCGCTCCTGCTATTCTATTGAGACATCTTACTTGTTTTTTGCCTCAAATGCTGCCCTCCACCCCAACATTTTGACCAACCAAAGGCACTCTTTTGGTAAAATGGAAAAAAAACTGAAAAACTATAGACTACAGTTTCCATGAATATTTGCTAGTGCAGTTTCAGTTTTTCCTTAGATTTTCTCGATTTTGGTTTTTAGTTTTTCACTTTTCACTTTTGGTTTTCGGTTTTTCGTTTTTTCTGCTGTGCAGTTTGGCGCCATAAAAACTGCATCTATGTACAGGATAGCTAATGCAAACAAATGCAAGGTGCCACACCCAAAAGTGCATTTTTATTTTGCCTTCCGCCGCCTTTTTTGCACTTTTACACTTTTTTGCTCGGGTGACGGGGTGCAAAACTGCATTCGGTTGGAGCATCAAGTGTTGAAAATTGCATTTTATATGCACCTATAGTTTGCCACCGACCAATGAGGGGCCACTTCCGTTGTCGTTGACGTCTCTTTTTATTTCAGTTTTCTTGTTTGAAATTCTCCCTTCTAAAAAGAGAATTTTGGTCAGACTTTGTTGTTTTTGCTACACAGATCTATATTGTAAGCATTTGAAGCCTCGCCAATCTTTATTATGATAAGTTTTTTTGCATTTTTACTATTTTTAATGGGAGCTTATATGGAGAAAAATACATTTACTGTACTCCTTTAGGATGTACAAAAATTAATTTTGTTTCTAAACTAAAATTAATATGAATTTAAAGTACTACATATGCAGTTATATTCGAGCGCATTTAAGTTGTGAGTATTTGCTCAAAAGTTTCCTAAAATTTTTAAATTAAAATTAATCAAAAATTGGTAAAATAAGCTAAAAATAAAAAAAACTAAAACTTTTTATGCTGATGTATCTCTATGAGCTAATGAGAGAAATCAGTAACTACAAAATTCTTTCTCTTTTAAAAACTACCAGATTTAAGTTTATCTTCCCATTTCAAGCAAAATCGATCACAGAACCTTAAATTCTAGTATTTCAGTCATAAATCACTTAGGCTTAGCACACTCCAATAAATCAAATACAAATTTTAGAAATTATTTTCAAATTATGGGACAATCAGTCTAAATTCTAAAGAGTAGCTTAGTGATTAAAATGTTTGTGTGTTAATATTTTCCGATGTTATAAATGACATCAAATTTTTTTGATAACGAAAACTTGTTATTTCGGTCCCACAAAACTTTAGATTTGCTTTATTATACTCTCGCAACCTGTTGCTACAGAGTATAATAGTTTTGTTCACCTAACGGTTGTTTGTATCAGCTAAAACTTATCGAGTTAGATATAGGGTAATATATATATAATTGATCAGGATGAAGAGACGAGTTGAAGTCCGGGTGACTATCTGTCCGTCTGTCCGTCCATCCGTCCGTCTGTGCAAGCTGTAACTTGAGTAAAAATTGAGATATCTTTATGAAACTTGGTACACATGTTTCTTGGTACCGTAAGACGGTTGGACTGCCACGTTGGAATAACTGCTCCATAACAAAAAAGACTGTGGTTTGGTACACAGGATCACATTAAGGAGCAGCATCTGCAGTTAAAATTTTTTTTTAGGTGGGCTTGGTCCCGCCCGCTAATAGGTTTAATGTGCATATCTCCTAAAACGCTAAAGCTATAATAACAAATTTCACTGAAAACAAATGTTTTTTAGCACCTCTATCGACAGTGTAAAAATGGGTGACAAGCCCGCCCACTCCCCATATAACTGTTAAAAACTACTAAAAGCACGATAAATCAAGCACTATACACGCCAGAGACATTAAATTGTATCTCTGGGATGGTATGATATGATTTTGTAGGAACCGCGTTGAAAATTAGACAGTGGGCGTGGCACCGCCCACTTTTAGGTAAAACCCCTTATATTGGGATGTTTAACCGATTTCAACAAAATTCGGTACATATCATTCTTCTTATA